TGGGCAGCTGCAGAGAATAAGGCAGAGTCCAAAGCCAGTCCCACTAGGGAGCAGGCCCTGCCAAAGAGCTGGCCCGCAAGATCTCCCCAAAGGCTGACTCGGGCCTGAGTGGGCTTGAAGACCCCCAAACCCATCCCTCCCCGGGCCAGAGAGAGTCCAGGCAGGGCCTGGGAGGGGGCAGCTGCAGAGCCAGTGCCCAGAGGAGGGGAGCGGAGCGTCAGAAACACGTTATCAGCACTGCCCGTCCTCCCCACTTCCTCTCTTCGAACGGATCACATCCTGTTATTGTGTGGACAGAGAAGGCCGGGAGCAGGGGAGGGAGGCAGGGCGCAGACCGAGCAACCGGGGAGAGAAAGGAGGAGCCAGGAGCAACGCCACAGTGCGCAGCCTGGGCCTGCCCGACCTCAGGTGGCCTGGGCAGGAGACCAGGACCCTGGGGGAGCACCAGCATCGCCAGAGCTGCTTGTATCTGTCACTGAGAGATGCTGGGGCTCAGGACAGGAAATGGCACCTCCTCCAGGAAGCCTTCCCTGGCCTCCTCCGATTCAGCAAATGCTGACTCAAGGCCTCTATTGCCAAGGCCCACAGCCACTGGGCTGCTCTCTCTTGCATCGTATGGCTGCAGGGCTATAATGCTGGGTATCCATTACCCCACACCTCACTCCCACCCAGCCTGTGAGCCCCAACAGACAGGGACAAGGTGGTGCCTGGCCAGCCCCCAGCACCACTGTGCGCAGTGAATGACACTGCAGCCCCTCACCATGCTTGCTCTCTGCCGTTCCCAAGCACAAGGACATCCGCTTTCTATACATTTGCCAGCAGCTTGTATGTGTGATCCTGCCCCATGACAGCTCTGTGAGATGGGTATTAACATCTCCACGAAGCCGAAGCTCAGAGAGGTGCAGTGACTGACTCAAAGCCACACAGCTCGGGCATTAAGTAGCAGTACTGGAATTACAGCCACGTGATCCTGACCCCAAAGGTGGGGCCAGCTGCCTTCCCTGCTTGCTCCTACCCATGTCCTGACCGCTCCTTCCTTTTAAAAAAATTTATCCATGTAGTCAAAAGATCTATTCCAGGTCTCCTCGTGGGTGGCAGGGACCTAAGTATTTGAGCCATCACCTGCTGCCTCCCAAGGCGCACTTTAGCAGGAAGCTGGAATCTGAAGCAGAGCCAGGATTCAGACTCACGCTCTGATACGCACCGTGCCGAACACCTGCCACGGCCTCTCTTCTGGAATGGAGGCCAAATCAGCCACTGTGTCCTCGCCAGCTACAGAGCCTGTGCTGCTGCAGGCAGGCTCCCCAGCACCCACGGGGGCACCTCACAGTCCTGGGCAGATCGCTGGCACGAGCTGAGCCGCCATCTCCCCCACAGCACAGCTTCAACCTGTCTGTTCCAAGAACACCAGCCACCGACTGGCTGTCTCTTCTGCCTTTGCCGAGGAGTCCTGAGCTCCAGCTCCGCCGTCAGAGCTGAGTATACCTTCGCCTGCCCATCCCCCTCCTCTCCTTACTCTGACTCATGATGACGCAACCCGTGCCCAGCACTGGGTCCCCACAGTTACCTGGCTTAAATGGGCAGCAGAGGCAGTAGGGGAGTGCTGGCTGCAAACAGCTAAGGGGGTAGTGTGCAGGCAACAAGGAGGCCCGGCTCCCGTGACTGCCCCAGCTAGACAGCTACCAATCCTCATCCTCCACACCCACTGCCCAGGCCCACCACAGCCAGCCTGCTGCTGGGCAGCCCAAGTCAGCACAGACCCCTCCCCACCCGCCTCCTGGCAGTCAGCATGGACCCCTCCGCACCCCCCTCCTGGGAGTCAGCATGGACCCCTCCCCACCTCCCGGGGGCAGAGGCTGTGATGCAGTGGGGGTGCCTGGGATCAAGCCCACCTCTGCTTCTGATCCAGCTTCCTCTAAGAGGAGACAGCAAATGATGATGGTTCAAGATCTTGAGCCCCTGCCACCCACAAGGGAGCCCCTGATGGAGTTCCAGGCTCCTGGCTTTGGCCTAGTCCAACCCTGACTTTGTGGGCATTTGGGGAGTGAACCAGCAGATGGAAGGTCTCTCTCTAATAAATAAATAAATATCAATGTTTTAAAAAGCAGCAGCCCGAGCCCCTGTACAGGTCAGGGGCAGAGCGGTCCACCGGCCCCTGCAGCCCAGGACCAGAACCTGTGTCTCAGCCAGGGCGCCCAGGAGTTGGCACCTTGTGCAAGTCTTGCCTCACACCCATCCCCATTCTTTCATTCCCTGCCGGGCTCAGACTGAGCCAGAAGACCACACAGGGAGCCTCTTCATTCAGCAAATACCACCAGGGAGCTTGTGCCAGTCGTCACCAGGAGGCTGAAAAAGAGGTAAATCAGGCGTGGCCTCACCTCTACCGAGCTGGCGCTTCGGTGAAGCAGCGGGCAAGTAGAGAAATACGAGGGGCCTTCAAAAAGTTCGTGGAAAATGCACATTATGAAAAAACTACGCATGGATTTCAACATTTTTTGCACCAACATCAATTTATCATTTAATTCCATTTTTTAAGATGCATTTATTCATTTGAAAGTCCGAGTTACAGGGAGGAGAGATCGTCCATCTGCTGGTTCACCCTGAAATGGCCATATAGCTAGGGCTGGGCCAGGAGCCAGGTGCTTCACCTGGGTCTCCCACATGGGTGCAGAGTTCCAAGCGCTTGGGCCATCTTCTGCTGCTTTCCCAGGCCACTAGCAGAGAGCTGGATTGGAAGAGGAGCAGCAGGGACATGAACCGGTGCCCACCTGGGGCGCCAGCGTTGCAGGCAGTGGCTTTACCTGCTGCGCCACAAGGCTGGCCCCTTAACTCCATTTTTGAAAGTACCCTTGTGGTTAGGAAGCCAGGGGAAATGCTCGTGTCCTGGGCTGGCGTTGAGACGCAGCAGGTAAAGCCACCACTTGCACCACTTGCAACTCTGACAGCCTGCCCTGGAGCCCCGGAGCCCTGGAGCACTGCTTCCAACTCCAGCTTCCTGCTAACGCGCACCCTCCGAGGAGCTGGTAAGCTAACGGGTCCTACCACCCATATGGGAGACCTGGATGGAGCTCCTGGCTCCTGGCTTCAGCTTGGCTGTCGCAGGCATTTGTGGAATGAGCCAGAGGATGAGCATTCTCTCTCAAAGTAGTGAATGAGTTGATTTTTTTTTTTTTTTTTTTTTGACAGGCAGAGAGGACAGTGAGAGAGAGAGACAGAGAGAAAGGTCTTCCTTTTTTCTGTTGGTTCACCCCCCTAATGGTTGCTGCAGCCAGCGCACTGCGCTGATCCGATGGCAGGAGCCAGGTGCTTCTCCTGGTCTCCCATGGGGTGCAGGGCCCAAGCACTTGGGCCATCCTCCACTGCACTCCCGGCCACAGCAGAGAGCTTGTAAAGCTGGAAGATCAGGAGAAATAGTAACAAAAGAATGAGTTGGGGATCAGAAAGTGCAACAGAATGAGGGCATGGTGAATAATGAGGTGCTACAAGCAGGCCAGGCAAGTGGCTGTGCTGTCCTGGGGCCCCAGAGAGCCTCCTTTCCTCTCTGGGCCTCAGTCTCCCTGTTCGGAGCCCCGGTCACCAGCCCAGACCACCTCCAGGGGCCAGCTCCCCTGCCTCGCAGTTTCCGTGGTGACGGCCAGAGTTCACAGGCTCTTCCTGCTCTCCTAACAGGAGTGTCTCGTCCCTTCCCAGGAAAAGTCCTTCGGAAACGGGTGCTCTCCTCTTCCCATCCTCTGGCCAGGACAGTCAGGCCGCTGCCCCACCCCTGCCGGGCCGCGGCATCACCGTCATCGGCGCCCTCCAGGTTGCTGGGCCCACTCAGCACCTTCAGGCCTTCTCATGCTGGCTGCACTGGAGCCCGTGACCCACACCCCACCCTTAACACCCTGCGCTTCACTCTCGGATCGCCACTCTCCACTCCGCCCGCTCTCTGGCCGCTGTCTGCGGCTGTCTCTCCGCCAAGCCTGTCATCATGCTGCCCTGGCCCACGAGCACAGATCAGAGCCCGGGTGCAGGGCCCAGCTCCCCCGCCTCCCAGATCCATGGCCTGCTCCCACTGCTCCCTACCCCAGGGCCAGACAGCCCGGGAGGCATGCTCAGGCTTCTCTCAAAACTGGGGCACTTCTCTGCACACCAGAGCCTGAGTTTCAGCCACTGGCCTGCCTCTGCCCTCCCAGCTGTGGCCAGGATTCCCTCAAGGAGCGAGGCAGCCAAGATCAGAGCCTGGCAGGATGAGCAGGGCTGACCCGGCAGGCCCAAGTGCATGATGCAACTCTCAAATTCCCCCTTGGCATAGCTCTTCCCTTAACACTCAGCCCTTTGTACTTAATCTACCAATTCATGCTGGCTGAGCAGGTGTGGCGGTCACTGTCTCCCCGCCAGGATGTAAGCTCCCGAAGAACAGCATCCGCCCAGCGCTGCATCCGCAGGCTCTACGCTACCTGGCCCTGCAGCAGGTGCTCAACACCATTTGTCCAATGAACGAGTGAAAGACAGAAAGGCTGGTACCCTACAGGACGCGCCTGCCTGCCCTACTGCAGTCTCTGAGGGTCAGTCCGCATGTAGCGGCCTGCCCCAGAGTCCCTGCCTGCAGCCACAGTCCCACTCCTGGACCCCCAGGGCAGCCCTCCCAGGCCACAGGGTCTCCTGCACAGCCTCTGCGGGCAACTTCCAAAGCCTTCAGCCTCCATCCCGGAGCTCCCAGGCCTCAAGACGCAGGCATGGGCTGCAGCCTCCACTGAGTCTCCAGAGGATCGCGGTCCTAAGGCAAGACCTTCAGCTACCCCGAACCTATGAGGAGGCAAGTGCCCAGCCTTTGGAAGCCGACCCATCGGCAGGAGGCGGAGCGGCGTGGCAGAGGGAGAAGGGGAACCCTCAGGGGGAGCCCCCCAGCTGCACGCCAGCCCCGCCCTGGGGCAGAGGCAGGGCACCTACTTCTTGTTTCAGAGGGGAAGCAGGTTCTCCTGGGCCCAGGGATGCGAAGAGCCAGCACAGGCCAAGGGCCCCTTGTAAAACTTTTATTTAGAAATCTTCCCAATATAGCCTTATATATACACACATCATCACCACGTGTTTTTTCGCGAAGAGTCACACGCCCACAGGGCTGGCCTGCGGGCAGCACACAGGTCCAGGTACCTAGAGCGGTCACTCCTCTTCTGCAGAAAAAATGCAGAGACCAACGCAATTCATCACATACAGTACGACATCGACAGAAAGTGCTGGGCCCGCCCGCAGAAACCACACGCTATGTACACGGGCAGGGGCAAGCCTCGGGCAGCGAGCCACGTACCACTGAAATCACAAGTACGGACGGCTGTCGGCTGACTACAGATGCAGTGCCCTTGGTTGGATTTTTGGGAAAGGATAAAGGTTGTACCATCTTGTCATTTGCCACTACCAAGAAAACAATATGAATTTTCCTTAAAAGATGTAGTTCCCCCCAGTTGTTCCATTCGCCTCTGTCCTCCTCAGAATGGTTTTCTACCTTGACATTTTCCCCCTTGTGTGCAGGTATTGTTCTTGAAATGCTGCATTTCATCACAGGTTCAGGAGGTGGCGGAGGGAGAACACAGGGAACGCAGCGAGAAAATCAGCTACAGCTCTCCCCCAGTTCGTACAAAACCTAAAGCCTTGTGCTTCCCCTTGCAGGCCCGCATTTTGGGTAGTTGGGTTCACCCATTCTGTCCATGTTCCTGTCTCTGGTCCCTTCTCACTCCTGTCCCCTGCCTTGCACCGAGACAGAAATGAAGATGACCTGGAGCAATGAGGACCATCCTAGTAAACCCGGGGCGCAAGCGGTTTACAACGTAAGTCACCCCATGCTGAGCAGGCTGCAGGCTGGGGATCCTGCTGCAGGCTGGCACGGAGGACAGCAGAGCGCTCACAGGTCTCCTGTCCTGAGCCCAGTCCCAGGAGACAGGCCAGGCTGGGGTGGCTGAGAGCAGGGGACGGCGAGGAAGACGACTCATCCCAGCCACGCGGCCAGCCTGCTTGAGTTTCGTACGGAACGTGTGACCTGTCCCCAAAGCCATCCTCAGTGTGGCTGAGTCAAGTTCATCTACTGGGAAGGGAACGCAGCCTCAGGGTCCAGGACAGCTGTTCTGCCCTAAGACAGACTCCTCCCACCATCTCCTGGGAGGAGGGACTGGAAAGGAGCCAGCCCTCCTCCCCATCAAAGTGAGGACTGGGACGCTGCAGCGGGATGGGGAGTCACTGTGCTACAAGGGGCGGCCACACTGACCCCACGCCCTCGAAAGGGACCTCACAGCTTACGAGGAAGAGCAGGGGAGCAGGGGCCACTCCTGTGCCTGCAGCTGTACTCAGGACACAGACGGAGCCACAGGGTGCAGCGACAGATAACAGGACTTCTGAGCAGGCAGTCCCATGGGTGCGGGATGTGGGTCACAGGAGGGCCTAGCCTTAAGAAAAACACGACCCACTGCCTGGATTGACACAGGAGGTAAACGAGGGGGCGGTGGTCCACTCTACAAAAGGATTCTTCACTTTACAAAAGGACTTGGAGTTTTTCTTTAAAAGATGAAAGTCAGGGATTTGATTTACAAAAGTTTCTCATACAGCTTTGGGAGGGACACCCTCCTATGGCATCAAGCCAACCTCCCACACACACCCTCGGGGAATGAACACTGCACCATCGATCAGGGGACTTGTGTGCATGCGTGCGTGCGTGCCTCAGCCAGGGCATGGTCTCCAACCAGATTTCCCATGTCCTACGAGTGGGGCTCATCCCAAGTCACATCAAGACCTAAACACCCCAGCAACAACTAAAGTCAGGCAAAAAGCCCAACTGCCCAGAATTCACAGGACGGTGTGTGCTCAGTTCAGAACGCAGACCAGACCATCGGCAAAACAGCGTCTTGCGGCAGGGGAATTCCTGTCCGCACCTGGGAGGGAAGGCAGGACCGGGCTGCCGTCCCCTGCCTGCACAGCACCCGCTGAGGTGCGGGAGTTGAAGCCCCTGTGCCCAAAATACCTCTTGCTCCATTTCACTCTAGTGTCGTTTTCCCTCTCTGCCTTCACACCAAGTCCAGCCGGGGCTGCTGCACGGCTGCACACTGGGTCCCCGCAGCCACAGGACAGGAAGGCGTCTCGGTGAGGAGCAAGCAGCACTCTGCTCTCCAGGGCGAGTAGTCAGGGCCGTGGGTTTCCCAACCCTCTGGCCCAGGGATGGACAGCAGGCTGCCCCCTGGCCGTCTGCTTCAACCGGGCCCTGAGAAGGTACCTGGAGGCTTGTGACTCCTGTAGCAGCCCGCTCACTGGGTGGACTGGCACGGGCCTGGTTGAAGACGGGGCTCAGGAAATGGGCAGCTGCTGGGTACCTTTATGTGCGGACAGATGCGGCCACAACGGCCAGCTCAGCCAGCTCAGGAGGGGTTCCCAGCAAGGCAGAGGCTGTGACTGGCCTCAGGTGAGTGCCGATCCCACCAGGTCTTGGCAGAGCCAGGACTCCTGTGCCCGGGCCAAACGCAGTGCCCTTCGAGCCTCCTAGGTGGGAAGTCTTAGGATCGGGGGCGGGGAGAGGGCAGACCGTGCCGTCTTCAGAAAAAGTACCTACCACTATGCCCCCTTTTTCTGTTCTCCTACTGAGGCAGAAAACAGAAAGCCAGCCCAAGGCTCAGGGAAGGCTTCCCACAGTTCAGACAGCGAGGGATGCCCCCAGGTCCATCCCAGTTCTCATCACACCTGCCCCCAAGGCTGCAGTCCCAGTGGCCCAAGGGCACCTCTTGGCTGGTCCCAGGTGGCCACAGTCTATCACCGGGGGCCAGCCCCATCGGCGGCAGGCAGCAGGGCGGGATGGAGGCTGCGGCTCGTGTGCTTGGGGGCCGGCTCCTCTGTATAGCTGTCCGGGCTGGCTGCCCCGTCCAGGGAGCTGCCACAGCTGGAGTTGGGGGAGAGCACATCCTGCAGCAGGTCATCGGGGGGCGCACCAGCCCCTGCCCCGCCGCCCCCGCCCGCGGCCCCCCCCACAGCGTCCTTGCCAGGCTTGGCCCGCTGGGAGCCCTCCTCCTCTTGGTCGTTGAGCAGCTTGGCCAGGAAGTTGATGTACTTCATGGCCAGGCGCAGGATCTCATTCTTGCTGAGCTTCTTGTCCGGGGGGTGCGTGGGGATCAGCTTGCGGAGCTCGGCGAAGGCCCCGTTCACGTTCTGCTGCCGCCAGCGCTCCCGGCTGTTGGTGAAGATGCGCCGCACGACTTTGGTGTGGGGGCCTGGGGGCGGGAGGACAGGGTTAGGGTGACGTGCAGGGACTGCCCGAAGGGGTGCCAAATGCAGGCAGCCAGGGGCGCCTGGACCTAGAAAATGCTAACTCACCTTTCCAAACCCCACATCCAGCATTTCCTCCCCGGCAACAAGCCCCTCAACCCCTCAGGACCACCACACCAAGCAGCAGGGTCCATTGTCCCCCTCTCGTGGCTCGTAACAGTTCTGGGTGTGCCTGTCTCCCTCTCTGGGCTGGGGGGCATCTGAGGATGGGGACCGTGTCTCACTCATTCATCCGCTCACTCTGTAGGAAGACAGACTCTGGAGCCAGACTTCCCGGGTTCAAATCCCAGCCATTAGCCACGAGACAGGTGACTCTGGGCAAGTCCCTTAAACTCTGCCTTGGTTTCACCACCTGCAGACCGGCGATAATGCAAATAAGTCGAATCACAAGATTGCTAGGGGTCTAAAGCCTAACACGGGTAGAGCCCCTAAGGCAGCACCTGGCTCAGCTCAAGCACTCAGCAAACAATAGCCACTACTCTGCATTCATGGGATCTTTACTAACAACCAGGCACTAGGGAGCAGCGGTGAACAAGACAGCGAGGGCCTCTGTCTTCACAGAGCTGACACTTTAATGGGGACGAGAGGATGAGCAAGTACCCCCCACACACTCACACATGGGGCTGCACGGTGAGGCAGAGTAGGTGAGCAGGGGCCATGGCACAGGAACAGCCAGGCTGGCCAGGCTGGAGAGGCGCACACAACGTCAGAGCCGGCAGGGCCAGAGCCCTGGGGACTCTGCTCTGAGGCATGGGTGAGTGAGAGCAGAACAGGGGCTTCAGAAGCGCCTGCTGATGGCAGGTGGGTGGCAGGAGAGGAGCACAGAGGCCAGTGGGGACAGGAATCACTCGTGGGCTCTCACCCCCAGGAGAGGAGCGCAGTGAGCCACGCACAGCCGTGGCCTGAGGCACCACGCAAGCTTCCAAAGGCGGCCTCAGTCTGCCCATGTCTGCATTGCACCTGCTTCGGCTTGGCCCAGCACTCACTGACACTCCCTGCACTCTGCTGTCAGAGCTGGGCAGACCCCAGTGTGCAGGGACTGAGCACCTGCGCTACAAAGCCCTGCACTCCGTTCCCGCCTGCCCACACTAGGGCTGCTGAGTCCCGGGAACCCACCTGCTGAAGGAACGGCCAGCCCTTGGGTCCCGACTTGCCCTCTTCCAGGAGCCCCTGGAACAGCCCTCAATATGCGGAAACACGAGTGGGGGAGGAGGGAGCAGAAGGGCTAAGACCTCCACAACGCCCCACTGAAGCAGAGATGCAGGCAGCTCTCCAGGCCAACACTTCCTGGTCCCCTCTCTCTCTCTCTCTCTCCCCTTCCCATCCCCCCGCCCCGCCCCTACCTCTCCAGCTTTCCCTGTCCCCTGCCTACCCTGCCTACAGCTGCTTTCCCAAACTCCAGACCCCAGCCCAGCTGACACTTGGCCAAAGGCAAGACCCTAGCTGAGAAAAACACAGCACACCTGCGGGGCAGCCCCGCCCTGGGCTGCCTCCAAGGAAGCAAGTCTCTGTCGTCAGGCCTCCAGGGCTGTGACATGGAAGGACCAGTCCCTGCAACCAGCCAAGACCAAGGCAGTGAGCTGGAGACAGCTCCTCGCTGCGGGGGAGGGGGTGATGCCACTGCTCTCACAGCCGGGGAGGGGGGTAGATGCAGAGGGGAAGGAGGGAAGTATCCCAGAGTGTTAGGAGGATGGCCCAGGGCCCTGCTGTGTGACTCTCAGCAGGCTGCTTCACCTCTCTGAGCCACAGTTTCCCCATCGGTGAAACGGAAACAGTTAACACTCATCTCCTGGGTTTACGTGAGGGTTAAATAAAAATCAACAGAGGTCGCCACAGGCTGAGAAGGGAAGGAAGCAATGGTGTGGCCAACAGGTGCAGAATCCCGTTAGAGGAGAGGTGACGTTCCAGTCACAGCACAGCAGGACGGCTGCAGCCATCAGTGAGTGACCGTGGATTCTGACTGTCCTCACCACAAAGCAGCAATAACACCTGAGGTGCTGAACATGCCACTCCCCCTGATTTGTTCATTACACATTGTACACATGCATGGAACTATATCAAACCACTCCAACAATATGTACAAAGGTACTTCAAACTCCAGAAGTTCACAGAAAATGGAATGAAAAGATAACTTTGGGGCAGGCACTTGGCAAAGCTGCTTGGAACGCCCGCATCCTCCACTGGAGTCCCTGCAACAAGTCCCAGTTGCCTTTCCAATTCAGCTGCCTGCTAATGCACACCCTGAGACGTGGCAGGTGGCAGCTCAAGTACCTGCGTCGCTGCCACCCACTGGGAGACCCGGATCCAGTTCTGGGCTCCCAGCTTCAGCCTGGCCCAGCCCCAGTTGTCGTAGGCAGCTAAGGAATGAGCAGCGGATGGGAAATTTCTGTTTCTTTGTGTATGTGTTTGTGTGTCTGCCATCATTTCAAACAAACAAAATAATTTTTAAAGTAAAAAAATACAATAAAAATGGAGCACATAAGGAAGGTACAAGGCACACAGGTATCCAGTAAATGGTAGAAAGTGTCCACACTGGCGCAGTGGGTTAAGCTGCCAGCATCCCATATCAGCACCAGTTCATATCCCGGCTGCTCCACTTCTGATCCAGCTCCCTGCCGATGTGGTTGGGAAAGCAGTGGAAGATGCACCAGTCCCCGGGCCCCTGCCATCCACATGGGAGACCCAGGAGAAGCTCCTGGCTTCTGGCTTCAGCCTGGCCCAGCCCTGGCCTTTGTGGCCATTTGGGGAGTGACCCAGAGAATGGTGTCTTTCCTTCCCTAACTCTGCCTTTCAAATAAATAAACAAATATTTTAAAAATAAATACTTATTTATTTATTTAGAAGGAAGAGAGAAAGGCAGAGACAGAAAGAGAGAAATCTTCTATCTGCGGGTTCACTCCCCAAATGGTCACAACAGCCAGGGCTGGGCCAGGCTTAAGCCAGGAGTTCCAACCGGGTCTCCCATGTGGGTGCAGGGGCTCAAGGACTTGGGTCATCTTCCACTGCTTTCCCAGGCACATTAGTAGGGAGCTGGCTCGGAAGTGGGCAGCCAGAACTCAAATCGGCACCCAGATGGGATGCTGGTGTCGTAGGCACTGCTGCAGTGTAGGACCCAATAAGTAACTCTTTTTTTTTTTCTGGACAGGCAGAGTGGGTAGTGAGAGAGAGAGAAAGGTCTTCCTTTTGCCATCGGTTCACCCTCCAATGGCCACCACGGCTGGCGTGCTGCGGCCGGCGCACCGCGCTGATCCAAAGGCAGGAGCCAGGTGCTTCTCCTGGTCTCCCATGGGGTGCAGGGCCCAAGCACTTGGGCCATCCTCCACTGCCTTCCCAGGCCACAGCAGAGAGCTGGCCTGGAAGAGGGGCAACCGGGACAGAATCTGGCGCCCCGACCGGGACTAGAACCCGTGTGCCGCCGGCGCCGCTAGGTGGAAGATTAGCCTATAGAGCCATGGCGCCGGCATCAATAAGTAACTCTTAAAAAAAAAAAAAAAAAAAGAAAGAAAGAAAATCCATGCACATCTCCTGCATCCCCACAGCCTGCCCTTCCCCTACATGTCTGCCTACTGCTGTCTGCATCCTCCCCAGAGAAGCCCCCTCCCATCACCCCTTCCTCCTCCTGCATCTGCCCCTCCTCCAGCAACCTCTCCATGTCCCAGCACTGAGGCGCTCGTAAATCCTGGTGACACAGGGGTTATGGCCTCCCTGGACTCCTGGCCGCCCCAGACCCCATCCTGTGTCCTCGCCTGGGGACCTGCAGGACTGGCCCCGCCCACTTCTTGTTTGCAGCACCCCTTCCCCTAGGCAGCAGACCCCTCTGGCCCAGCATTACTGGCGCCTACAGCACCTGCTCTCCTGGGTCTTTCAGGGTCTGTTTTCTGCTCCAAACCCCAGACCCCTCCTCTCCGGAACACTGCAGAGGGCTCCGTTCCAGAAGCTCCACCCACACACACACTGGGATCCCTCCAACAAAACTGCAGGCGTGGCTGTGAGGCCTCAGGTGCCCTTCCTGCCGGAGCTCTGTGCCACTGGCTTGCTGAAGCCCCTCAGTTCCGAGAAGAGGGCGGGGCTCCTCCAAGTCTCCCACTTATCCAATCCCTCCTGGCAAGTTCAGGGCGGAGTTCACAGTGCAGCCCAGAGGCCCTCCTGGGGGTGGGGGGGCAGGGCAGCATCGATGGTGTCAGGAAGGGAACCTCAGGCTTCATCCCAGAGTGCAGGGACCTGGGAAGGGACACTTGAAGGTGCAATCCCAGGCAGGGCAGGGCGCAGGCTGTACACTCCACAGAGCAACTGGGAGGAACGGTGGGGGATCCCCGGGCTCAGCACTGACGGCCAGAGGCACAGGGATGGGGACCAGACCAGAGATCTTGGCTAAGCGCCACCGTGTGTCCCTCTCTGGGACCCCTCTCAATAGGACTGGGAGCTCAGGTCCAGGGTGAAGGGGCCTCAGCACTTTTGGGGTTCCCACGTGGCTTTCCCACTGATGTGAGACTCCTTCCTACACAGCACCCAGTGTCCCCTCCCACAGGGGCTGTAACCCACCCCAAGTGTACAAAGGCAGAGGCGGGGCGGGGGGGGGGCCAGACTCACCATCGGTGATCTCCATCTCGTAGGGGGAGGGTCTCCTCTTCACCCGGCTGTTGGTGGTGAACATGGGGAAGGCATCAGGCTCTCCAAAGAACCCGCTGTGGGAGGGAGCAGCCAGGTCACATCGTCACCCGTGGAAGAGGAAAAGCAGCCCCCAGGGATTCTCCCCACACCTCTGGAGCCCCCAGGCCCTGGCGACCCTGCTTCACACTAGATGGGGGACAGGAGGAGCATTACCCACCCTCACTCACCACACACGCACCCCCCTCATGAGACAGACGGGGGCCCAAATCTACACATCCCTTCTCACACACACACACACACACACACTCAGGCAGAAGGAAACAAATAGGTGGAGCAGGCACAAATGCACATGCATACACACACACACACATACACATACACACACCCCTCCTACAGGCAGTAAGCGCCCATACATTCCCAAACAGGTGCCCACACAGGCAGCTCGGATCTTGACCCCAGCCTCAGCTCACAGGACCCGGGGCTCCCCACACTCACTCCAGGATCCCACTCCCCACCTTCACAGGAGCCCCCACAGCGCAGCGGGTGCTCACACTGGGAGCCCAGGCTACCGAGAGCAGCGGGCCTTCCTGCCACACCCCCAGGTGCTTTCCTGCACTTGCTCGCTCGCTCTCTCCTTCCTTCCCTCTCCCTCTCCTTCACTCTCCCCCAGCGTGTCTCTCTCTCTCTCCCCTCAGCCCCCCTCACCCCGAGCGCACATGGCCACTCCTGCCTGGGACCCACACACGGGGAGTGGGGTGGGGGGTCCCTCCTGCCACGCGCGCACTCAGCACCCGCAGCCACACACCCGCACACCCAAGGCGACACCCATCTCTTCAGCTGCAGCCGGGCGCACCGCGCAGCCACATCCAACCACACTAGCGCTCTCCGAGGGCTCCCTTCCCACTCCGCACGGGGGCTCCAGCCTCTACCTCCCCCGGGTTCCAGCGCCCTCCTCTCGCGGCTTTCGGCCGCACAGCCACGGCCGGCCGGAGCCCAGTCCATTGCCGAAGCGCTGAGGGCCCGGGGCTGCTGGCCGCGTTGCCCACCCGCCCGTCCCGTCCCGTCCCGGCCGTCCCGCCGGTCCCTCCGGCCCTCACCTGCCGAGCGAGGCCAGCGGTTGGCTGAGGCTGTAGAGCAGCGCGCGGCCCGGGGCGGCGGGGGCCGCCGGCGCGGACGGGCTCAGCTGCACCATGCGGCCGTCTCCGGGCAGCTCCGCGGCAGCCGGGGCGGGCGCGGGGGCCGGCGGGGGCCCCGGAGGTCTGCACAGCTCAGTGGTGGGCACCCGATGGCGCGCTTCGGCCGCCGCTGCGTCGCGGCCCTTTAAGTCTCGCGCGGCGCCGCCCCCACCGGCGGGGCCGCCCCCAGGGCCGGGGCGCGCGCCCAGCTCAATGACCCGGGGCTCCGCCGGCGGCGCGCGGCTCGTCTCCTTGGCGACGCCGTTCAGCAGGACCAGGTGCGGGGGGGCCATGCGGGCCTCGGCCTCGTCCCGTCCCTCTAGCTGGGGGTCACTGCGTGCCGCCTCGTTCGGCGGCTGCTCGGTCATCCTGCGGGCAAACAGATAGCGGGCGCCCGCTGAGACCACCGGCGCGGGCCGGGATGGGGGCTCGGCGCGGCGCTGCGAAACCCGAGAGGCCACGAAACTTGGCGCCACGTGCTGCGGCGAGATGAGGGGGGGTGGGTGTCTCCGGAGGGGGCCGAGGGGAGACACCGAGGCAGGGCCGAGAGACTCGAGGTCGGAGAAGACTACAGGGACAGGAGAAGAAAGAGAGGGAATCCAGCCGCTGCAATAATCAGAGAAGGAGGCAGGAAAAGTACAAAGAGGCGAGAAAGATCTCCGACACCCTCCTCCTCGGGCCTGGGGGAAGGGGCGGGAATAAACCCCGACCGCGCTCTCCCACCCCTACCCCCACCCCACCTCCACCCCACCCCCGCTTTGGTTTTGGCGGCGGGGGTGGGGGGCTATGGGGCAAAGGTAGAGTACTTTTGGAACCTCCCAGTGATACCCCCCCACTGCCCATTGCCACAACACACACACACACCCTGAAACCTGGTGAGGAGCACATGTGGGGAGAGGGGATGGAGGCCACAAGGACTGGGGTGCACCGAGCCTGAGCTGGCAGGGAATAACCCAGAAGAACCAGCTCCACCCCTACACATATTCACCCTGCAGAGGGAGTGCATCCCACCAAGCAACCCCGGCAGCCCCCCACCACCGCCCAGACCAAAGGAAGACGGACGGACAAGGGCAGCAGATCCTGGCATGACAGCCCACATGCCCTTCCCCATTCTGTTCAGTGGACTCGGGAGTGAGACCGGGTCTTCGAGGGAGCCTGGACATTCAGAGCATGCCCCACCCCAACCCCCACCCCCAGGCCAGGGGAGTCCCAGCTCCTGTACAAAAGCAGGTTTGAGTTTCAAGAAGGCCCTTGAACTCCTCCAGACACCCTGCCCCATCTGGGACTCAGTGATCTTCTCTGGGAAATGGGAGGAACCCCTCCTTGATGCATTTGAAAGTACTGTGGCAAATGCTCAAGTCAGCACCACGCACCTGCAACAGCCAGACCAGAATCCCAGTCTGTTTTACACTCCCAGGGACCCCCCCCCCACCTTCCTCCAGGAGGATCACAGCCACCCCACTTCCCACAAAGCACTGGGGCTCTTCCATCACTCGGCTCCCTCCAGCTGGAGCCAGCCTCCCCACTCCGACAACCGAAACGGAAAAACCTGGAGACTCAGGGTTCAGAGTCAGGGACGCTTGTGAGTTATTTTAATTGTACACATAAAATCAACCAGACAGGCTTCGCGATTGTTCAAAATAAGGCTTCTGCTCTCAGAATTATATAATTGGGAGTCTTTTACAACAGAAACTAAATGCACAAAAATCCAATTTGGCCCCAGAGTCCAAGAAGCCATTCACAGCAGCCACTGAGCTCCCGTTCCGCTACTGCAACACCCTGCCCCGGGGTCGGGCTGGGAACCACGCTTCCCCTCCCGGACGGGAGTCTGGACCTTCTGCAGCCTCCTGGGGGAGCGCAGCCCAATCGCAGCAGATACTGAGCACACGAAGACTCTTGTGCGCCTACTCGGGGGCTGCCACCCTCCCAGCCCAGCCCAGAAGTGCTAGAATTGTCCCAGATCTGGTGTACAGAAGCTGCAGGGGCAGGAGGTGCACTGGGCTTCATTAGGAGTGAGTTTTCAATTATGGCGGAGACAATAGGGCCAATATCCACAGTGCCACTGAGACCCCCTGGCCATTGGAAATGCACCAGCAACATCCAGCCACTCCTCCACTCCCCCTGGCTGGGAAGAACACCAGAAATACAGCAGTCCCTGGCCAGCCATCCAAGCCCCAAGGTGCTAGCTCCCTGACCCAGGTGTTTCAGCCTCAGCTGTAAACAAGTGACAAAAGGTGTGCCCTGCAAACAACAACTGTGCCCAGGCTGTTAGGATTCATTTGTCCCCTCTGATTCCTTCTGCAGCTCCCTCCACAGGAACCGGTTCCCAAGGGGGCAAGGGGAGCGCATGTTCCCGATGAGATGACCCTAGCCAATGCCCTCTCCCAGATGCCGGTAAACACCCGCATCCCTAAGGCTCCCTGGAGAACTGCACAGTCCCCGCTGCTTCCAAGACCTCCAGAAACCCGGCTGACTCTTCTGCAACCAGGATCACCCATCGAGGGCTCCACACCCTGGAGGACGCCACCAGAGGACCCCTAATGGGTGTCTGAGACGAGAAAGGAAAGCCTGCATGCTTTGTGTGTGTTTTTAACCTGGGTAGGAGCAGGCCTGAGGCTGAACGGCTCCTGAGTAAGGTACCAAGCACTGCAGCTCCCGTCTTTGTGCAGTCGCCAACACCCATCCGCACCTCCAGACGGCCCGACCTACTCTGTCCGAGTGTGCCTGAACAAGGAGGTCTGGCCGGCTCCTTCCTGGGGGCAGGCAACCCTCCCTGGCAGGTGCTGCGGGGCAGCTCCCAACGCCCCCCCTCCCCCAGGAAGAATTTCTCAGATGAAAACCGCCTCGGTGCCTCTGCCTAAGACCCGTTCTCCAGCCCTTCTAACCGCACCCATACCGCCCCTACACCGCAGCAGAGCTGGGAGACTGCACCAGAAGCCAAGCCGGCAGCCAGCGGTGCGACTCTGCCCTCGCCGCAGGAGCCGAGCGGTGTTCCAGCGGTCCCGCCCTAGGCCTCAGGGCCCAGTCAGGGCCCACCCTCGTAGGGACCGCGCCGGCCAGGATGGCTGCCGCCTTCTTCCTGCCCTTCTTCCTGCCGGAGATCCAGGCACGGCCTGCAGCACTCGGACAGAGCCGCCCCAAAGTTTCCCCGCCTCACGAAGGCAGCCACAGAACCCGGACCCAGGGGACAGTCCTAGAGGACTAGGTCCACCCAGGCTGGCTCTCCCCAGGGCGAAAAAGGCAAGGGCTTGCTGGAGGCCACCGCGGCGGCTCCGGGCGGCCGGATCCCCCATTTCCAACCCTCCCTCGCTTCTCCCTTCCCCCACCCAATCCCAGACTGGGCCCGCTCGCTGCGGGAGTCTTGCCCACCCCAGGCGGAGACCCAAGCCTTGCCCCCCCCCCCAAACTTACCTGGGGCATATTTAGAGAGACTGGCCCCTCTAAATAGGGTCCCTACTCCTCCACCAGAGAGGGGCGGTGGCTGAGGTCGCGACTGTGGATGGAGGCGTCCTCGCTTTCCTGGTCGCTCCCTAAGAGGCCAACAGTTAGGCTGCCGTGTGGTCCTGGGCGGACTGCCGCGCCCAAAGCGAGTTTCCAGGAAAGATGGGGGTGGAGAGAAAGAGGGAGGGCGAGAGGGAGGGAGAGAGAGAAATGGGGGTCAGTGGCTGGGAATTACCTCACGTCCCCCACCCCCCAACCCGTCCAGGGATTCGCAAAGAGCCTTCCACCCCCAACCTGCAGGTGTCTGGAGCCTTCCCCGTGAAAAGAGACCCCTCCGCCTGACCAATCAGCTACAACGATTTAGTGCGACCACTCCCGGCAGCGCGCCCGGAACCGGGCCGCCTCGGAGCCCTCCACCAGGGACGGGCCTGCCTCAGCGCGGCCCAGCTTGTTTTCTAAGCGCGGACGCGTCTATGCGGTTTGCTCGGCCACCCAGGCCAGGCCCGAGCTGCCGCCACAGTCGCAAGGGACAGCACCGGGGCTGAGGCGGATGGAGGGTGGGGGTGTTGGGAAAGGTTAATGCCGTCTTCAGACCCTGGTCCAGAGGGCAGAACCGCGGAGTACCTGTTCTCCAGGACCCCCAGCTCTCCACGTCCACCCCAAAACGAAACCAGAACCCAATTCCAAGGGCTGCAGTTTGCCGCAGGAATGGAGTCACAACGGGGGGGGGGGGGGGGGGATGAATACGCGATCTATTAGGGGCCTTTTTTTTCCTACTAAGGCGAAGAAAAAGAGGCAGAGGGGAGGAAGGAGAAGAGGAGAGGAGGAAGGAAGAAGGAGGGAAAGGGAAGAGAAGAAACACCAAGAAAAGGGGAGAGAGTCCCCACCCTCTCCACCGCCCCTACAGAACAGGTTTCGATTTTTCGGGATCTCGACGGGCAGAACCCCAAAGATCCGCCGCAGCACCGTGCGCGGCAGAAGGGCGGGCGGATAAAAACAAACCGATTCGGTCGACGAGGCTGTAGCCCAATTCCGGTCGCTTTTATTCCCCCCGCCCCCGGTGGGTTCTGTTTAATACGGTTTGCCCGCACCGTCCGGCGCCCACCGCGAGGGCCTCTTCGGTGCCGAGGCTTTGTGGAACAATTCTTCCTCGGGTTCCCATCCACCGCGGAGGCTTCCTTTCTCTTCGTCTAATCCCGTTGGGGGAGGGGAGGGGGGCCACCCATCCCCGTTGTCAGCCTGGAGGGGACGTCTGCTTTATGGTCGACTCTAGGCGCCCGTCCTCTTCTCCATTTTCCTCTCCCTACCCCGAACCCAGCAACTTAGAAAACGAAGCCGGGAAAAAAGCCCGCGTCGCTTTGTTCTCCCCGCAGAGACGCTAACGGGACCCAGCGACCGCGCTCTCGGACGATTATTTTAATTAAAACAGGCCGTTAACGAGGAAGAGGACAGCAGCGGTTACAGTAAAAGGCCAAACAAAATCGCTTCTTCCCGGGCTGGAGCAGAGCTGAGCCCGCCCTTGTACGAAGCCGACGCGACGGTCCCGCCGCGGGGAAAAATGTTCCCTCGCGAGCCGCGAAGCTTGGAGCGGGACCCCTCCCCCAGACCCCGGTGGCCGCACCCGCAACACTAACCCGAAATGGACGAAGCCCGCGTGCGGCGCGAACGCGGCCTGAAGGTGCCGGCCTGAGCGAGCGCCGCTCGGCTTCCAGCCGGGAAGAGCCGCCGCTCACCGGCGCACCCCTCTGCGCCGAGGCACCGACTGGCCCGGGCTCCGTCCGCCCATCCCCGTCTACGCGGGCTCCAGAATACATCATAATTTGGAATAAAATGTGAGAGCCCGCTCCCCGCCCCCCATGCCGCCGCGATCCCTCGCTCGCCCTCCCCCACTCCCGCCCCCAACGATTTTGCGCGGGCAGCGCCAAAGGACGCTAGCGTACGGGCGCACCCCTCGGCACGGCCGGGGCCCCACGCGACGGCCGCCAACACACATCACGAGCCGGCAGGGTCAGGCCCGCGCACGGTCCAGTGCGACACAACGAAATCACACCCGCGCTGTCGCCCACGGACGCGCAACCCGACCCAGCCGGGAGCACGCGCGCCCGGCCAAACAACGACACCTCCAGGACACGTCCGCCGCCGCCGCCGCCGCCACGCAGAGCCGCAGCCCAGCTCACACGGCCCGCGAGCGTCGGCGAGAGCTACAGTCACGACGAGGCGGAAGGGCCTCGCGGGGTCCGGGGCCACGCACCCACGGCGCACACCACGATACTCGGACACGCACCCTGCGGCGGGACGGCCTCGCTCGGGAGCAGTCGACATGGCCCACAGCGCCCACGCGCGCACTCTCCACCCCACCGCATGCACACAACACCGGGGAGAAATGAACACCAACCGCCGCCGCGCGCGTTGCTGTGCGCTGCGTAAGGAGAAGGGGAAGGAAGGAAGAGTCGGCGGCGGCGGGAGGGGCGGGGGCGTCCGTGGAAAATGCCCCCCACGGAAGGGCCGCGAGGAGCGGGAACCCCCCTCTGCGGGCGTGGACGGGGAGAAGGCGGACTGAGGAGGAACTCGGCGGGAGGCCGCAGGTCGCTCGTCCCCGGCCAAAGGCCCCAATGCTCACGTTTGTCCGCTGCGGGGGTGCGCGCGTGGCCATTTTGAGGCCGGGCCCGGGCGTGAGGCCGGCCCCGCCCGCGCCGCCCGCCGCCCCGCCCGCGCCCGCGCCCGCGCCCGCGCCCCGCGCCCCGCGCCGCCCGCGCCGGGCCCCGCCGCGCCGCGCCGCGCCGCGCTCTAATCCCGCTCACGTTCGGGGGGCCTCGTTAGCATGGGCCGAGGCGCGCGGGGCCGTGTGCGCCGCGGAGATAAGGCACTGCCGCGGGTCCGCCCGCCCCCGATAAGCGCCTCGGCCATTATGGGCCAAATGATTCATTTTAATTTGGCAAATTCACCGGGGGTGGGGGTAGGGGGGAGGAGAGGGGACCGGCTCCGGAAGGCGCCGCGTGCGGAGCTGCGCGCTGGCCGCCCGGGCAGGCCCAGCCTCCATTTCGGATCCCGAGGCCTCGCGGGAAGCCCCGCGCCCCCAGCCACAGGCCCTCGGCCTTCCACAGGCTTCCATTGAGCGACTTCCATTGAGCCCTTGGCTCTGTCCCTGACTCTGAAGACTGCGGCAACACCGAAGCTGCCACCTCCCAGTCCTCCCTCTCCAGGGTCCCGGACCCCTGCAGATCTGATCCCAGAAAGCCCCCAGCTCCTCCCTCCCCGACCCTCCAACCCCTTTAGCCCTGGTCCTTTTCTGCTTTGAAAATGGAGCTGGCAGCTCAAACCCAGAGGACTCCTGGGACGGAGTGGTGAGGCCTGAGCCCACAAACACCACTCCTGCATAGTAATTTTTTTAAGTTAGTTTATTTATTTGAAATACAGAGTTACAGAGGCAGAGAGAGACAGAAGTCTTCCATCTGCTGGTTCTTTCCCCATATGGCCGCAACGGCCAGAGCTGGGCCAATCTGAAGCCAGGAGATTCTTCCAGGTCTCCCACGTGGATACAGGGGCCCAAGGACTTGGGCCATCTTCTGCTGCCTTCCCAGGCCATAGCAGAGAGCTGGATCGGAAGTGGAGCAGCCAGGACAGGAACCGGCACCCAAATGGGATGCTGGCACTGCAGGCTGTGGCTTTCCCATTAAGCCGTAGTGCCAGCCCTACAGAGTGTTTTTAACAAGCATTTTAATCTTGCTACTGGACCCCATTCTAAGAACTGCACAGATACTAACTTATTTAATCTTCATAAACAACCCTGAGAAGGGGTTATTATTTTCAATTGCGTTCTGTCATCTTTGTATCATCCTTAATTCCAGATAAGGAGCCTGAGGCACAGAGAGAAAAAGCACCTTTCCCAGTGTCGGAGACCTAGTGAGCCGTGGAACCTGGTTTCCAGGAAATTCGGCAAGAGGTCTATTCTGTGTTCAGCTGATGAAGCGGGGCAGCCAGAACCTAGGCTGGGCTGGGGGATTGCACTGCCCTTACGGTGGGAACCGCAGCAACACTGGGGCAGGACCCTGGGTTCAGTGCCAGCCCAATGACCGGGGTCTCGGGTGCAGGGGAGAGGGCACAGGCTCACTAGTCACTTAGTCCCTCAGTCTCTCCGTCTGTAAAATGGGGATTAATACCTATCTCACAGAAATGTGAGGATGAAATAAAATGGCTTTTTCAAAGTAGGAGAGTTTGGCTTCTTTCTTAAATGCTTATTTATTGGAAAAGTAAAGAGGCCAGCATTGTGGCACAGCAGGCTAAGCTGCTGCCTGGGATGCACATTCCATATTGGAGTGCTACTTTGAGTCCCAGATGCTCTGTTTCCAATCCAGCTTCCTAGGAATGTGGCTGGGAGGGCAAGTGATGGTGGCCCAAGTACCTGCCACACTTGTGAGAGAACTGGGTGGAGCTTCTGGCTTCTGACTTCATTCTGGCCCAGCCCTGGCTATTGTGGCCATCTGGGGAGTGAATCAACAGATAGAAGATCTCTCTCTCTCTCTCTCGCTCTCTCTCTCTCTACCTTTCAAATAAGTAAAAATAAATAAGTCTAAAAAAGCAGCAAAAGAGATCTTCCATATCTTTCATCTGATCGTCTACTCCCCAAATGTTTGCAACAGCTGAGGCTGGGCTAGCAGAAGCCAGGTCTTCCATATGATGGGTAGAGCTCCAAGTATGTGGTTTAATTTTTTTAAAGATTTATTTATTTGAGAGGCAGAGAGATAGCAGAGTGAATCATCTGCTGGTTCACTCCCCAAATGGCCACAAGGGACAGAGCTGAGCTAATCTGAAACCAGGAGCCAGGAGTTTCTTCCAGGTCTCCTGAGTGGGTGCAGGAGCCCAAGCACTTGGGCCATCTTCTGCTTTCCCAGGCTATTAGCAGAGAGCTGGATAGGAAGTAGAGCAGCCGGGACACGAACCTGGTGCACATATGGAATGTGGGCACCACAGGCAGAGACTTACCTACTATGCCACAGCACCAGCCCCAAAGACCCAAGTAGTTCAACCATCATCTGCTGCCTCCCAAGATGCATTAGTAGGAAGCTTAAGAGTAGCTGGGACTTGAACCTGCACTCTGATATGGGATTGCAGGCATCCCAAGTGACAACTTAACCTGCCATGCGTGCCACAAATTCTGGCCCCTTGTAAAATGACCTTCAAAGGTGGTGGTGAGGGTGCTAACATATGGAAGTGCACCCGGCCCTGTGTTGGGGTCAGCCTCACATGTGTGTCCTGGCTGGAGAGGAAATTAAAGCACAGGAGGTGGCCTGGCCAAAACTTACAGTGGCCCAGAGGGAAAGCCAGGACCTAAACTCCCGTGTCCAAACAGCAGTCCCCCACCTCAGCCGCTGGGCCAGGCTGATTTCCTTCTAGTGTCTCTGGTATTGAGCTCCCTTTGGAGCCTGAGAGCTGGAGAAAGCTCCCACGGTGACCCCAGCGGGAGTCCCTGTCAAGGACTGAGCCCAGAGTGTGACGCTCATCAGGACTACCCCCTCCCCCAACACACACACATGGAGAACACACGGTTCACTCACTCAGTCCAGCCTGTCTCCTCTGGCCCGGGTGCTCTCTGGCAGGAGCTGGGCTGCAGGGGACTGTCACAGACTCCCATGGTAGCAGGGCTGCCTGTTGTCTGAGAACAAGAGTCCAATCCGCCCTTGCCACCGGGCCCTAGACTTTGCTGCCTCATTTAACAGAAAGAGTGGGAGTCATGCCATTCTGAGTGTGAAACTCAGCTCTGCCGCTCGCGGGCTGTGGGACACTAGGGCAAGTCATTTCCTGGCTCCAGGCCCTCCAACCACTCCCACATTGGAGACCCCCTCCAAAAATGAGGCCTGGAATGAAAGCCAAGAGTGAGATTTGGGCGTGCGGAGGAGGGAGCTTCCAGAACATTCCACATGGGCCCAGCAACCAGCTGGGCTGAAGGCTGAAAGCAGAAGGGCCATGTTCATGAGAGAAGCAGAGGAGAGCCCAGTATGGCTGGAATAAGCCACTGGACAATTTAATGGTTGGGGGAACCCATTTAATTTGGTTTGAAGGTGGGCATGGTGCACCATACAGGACCAGATTTGCATTTCTAGAAAGCTCTTAGGCTGCAGTGTGGCGAGGGGGTGTGGGTGGGTGGAAGGGGTGAGGGAGATCAGTTCTGGGACCAAGGCTGCTGGGCCAGGGGAGGGGATCAGAGCTTGTTCTGCTGCACCAGCAGAGAGGTGTGAAGGGGACCGAGAAGGCAGGGCGCCTGCTGCGGAGCTGACGCCACCGGAGAGGCCCACGCGCCACATCCAAGGGCCTGCGTGCAGCTGCCCGCTAATGGGCCTGGGAGGCAGCAGGTGATGGCTCAACTACCTGGGTCCTTTTCATCCAGGTGGGAGCCCAGGCTGCTGTCTTCAGGTGAGCATTTGGAGAGTGAACCAGCAGATGAAAGATGAGAGAGAGAAGAGAGAATGAAAATGACCTGTATTTAGGATATAAAACTTCACAACTGGCTGTGTGGGGTTGGGGTGAGGGAGTGGCAGCACCCCAGGAACTCCCTTCCCCGGGGGTGGGGGGGGCTCTGCTATCTGACCCTGGAGACTGGGGCATGGGAAGGACTTTGCCTTGGGCTTTGTCTTCTGACGCCTTTGAGGCACCTGCGGACTGTCAGATTGCTTTACAGCGCCTTAAAAACCTCCCAGAGTAGGGTGCTGGAGGACCACGGACTGCTGGGAATGTTTCTTGGAAGCCACGGCAGGGGGCACAGTCCTGGGATCTGTCTGCCACTCCTGCACACAAGGGCGCCCCGCACCTGTGACGTTTACACCCTCCCCCTTCCCCGCGTCCGGCGGCCTC